CCTATTTTCAGTTCTTTATCTCGTTTTTTGTAGAATACGCCACTTTTCAAACCCTATAAAATAATATAGTTTATTCTATTTTAAGTTATGAAAGTATTTTAAAAATAGCAATTATACATACTACACAAACAAGATACACTGCAATGTGTGATATTCCAAATACTGAATGCATGTTTCCTGTATGTATTGTATCCATATAAGCATTCAGAAGTGTTATCTAGAAAAGAAGCAGCCAAAAAATTTGAATCTGAGATCTGTTGCCATGTTGATTTGGGAACCAGTGCAAAGAAAGACTCCAGTGCTTTCAAGCATTCTAGTTCAAGCCTCTGCAGGGTTTGGAGCTCAATTAACACTCACATTGAAGGATTGCCAGGTAGGGGCCTTTTGGTCCATGGAGTGCCTTCTTGGCTTAGCTTTACCTTCTGTGCTCTTGCTAAAGTTACCTCTTTACAGTCCTTGGGATGCAGCAGATTGCCTGTTCATGAGAAGAAAGCCTGGGTGGAAGAAGTCCCCCTGGGGCATCTATGCTGAGGGTGGTTCCGCATCCTTCTGCAGACTGCACATTTACTTCAGCTTGGAGTTATTGATTCATGGACTTTAAGCAATAATGGAATCAGTAGACCCCATATATATTGAGTGCAGTCCAAACTTTTCATAGCCATGAACTGACTCTGTAGTTAGATCGTCTCCTTATCTTGGGAATTGACCATGAATCTTCTTGCTATAGACACCAAGTCTCCCCAGAATTACGTTAGTGTTCTGGTCACAATTTGGGAATATAGTTACTGCAAAAGGCTGTCCAAATTTTTTTACATACCTTTGTTGACATCTGAAAAAAAAAATATATTTTTTTCTTCCACTAAAAAATATTTAAACATGCCCTAGGTTGATAGCAGTGTTATACAGAGACAAGGACACATTGCTATGAGCCCAGAAGGACCTAAACTACCTAGTTCAATCCCCACTGTGTAATTTGTTCTTTGGAGATGAACAATATTTAGGAAACTGTTCTTGTCTCAGCACTTTTATTCTCACTCTATCAGACTTTTCAGATTTTTTTTGTTGAACTCTGCTGCTGTGACATCAGTATTCTGTAGTGAAGAACTGTGTAATTGACTTAATGGATGTTTTATAGCCTGTCCATTTCCACAGGGAATTTCCTATACTATAGTTGAGGGCAGTGATAATCCAAATGCGTCGTTTTTTCAATCTAACAGTGCCTGGCTTGCAAAATGAGAAAACCCTTATGTAGAAGAATACAATATATGCATAGCTCATCCAAAAACCTGTGATTCCTGCCTGTGCAAAGCTGACAATATTATAATTAAAGTGTATGTAACAACATATTCGATTCATTGTGATTGATTTTGTTCAACTACAAAACTATGTGACATTCAGATTTTTAAAATTCCTACCCAAAATAGTATCTTTAACATTTACTATTTAAAGGATTTTTCATGTTTTGACTTGTTTTGAATAAAGTGCTAAACATTATTTCCAAGATGAGAAATGAAGAGAGAATATGAGCAGTCTAGCCAAGTTTCAGGCACGTAAAAGAGATGTTTTCTGGTTGTTATAAAAACTTCCCTGATTTGCAATAAGAGCTTGTGGGAGCAACATGAGAGTTAGGCAGAATTTCATTCTCAAATAATAATGCAATAATGCATAAATATGTGGAAAATTGTGCTCTATGAAGCAGCAAGTTTTTGAGAAATTTGTAAATTCTGAAAAAAGTAGAGGCTTTGGGATTTTTTTTTTGATATTTTAGGAAAAAAAAAGTTTTTTTTTTTTTCCCCAAAGGGCAAGATATTAAACATCAAAAGATTAAGTAATGTACAGATATACTGCAAAAGGACATAATCAAGAAAACTATTTCAACAGCTTAATTGCTGTTCAATTAATGCTCCTTTATTTTTCTCATGCTGCATTGTCATTCTTCATCAGAAACAGCTGTCTGCATGTGGTCTACAACTTCATATGTTCCAGTGCAGATGACGGTCATAAGGCTTTGTCATGTGTAATTAGGAAATCAAAGCCATTTTCTAAACTCCACAGTCCAGATGTTCTCAAAATAGATGTCAATTAAAGCTGTGTTGGTGTTGCGTCAGCAACATGTGAAAGAACGTGAGGAAATCACACTTCTACAATGCTTTAAATCCCAAAGGTTTCTTTCATTGAATTCACTGTTAGCAGGAGGGCTTTCAGAAGTGTGGAGACTTGTTTTACTGTATGCTCATATTCAGCAGCAATGTAGTCTTCACCAGGTTTTATGCTGATGGCGTAGCTTATGTGCTCTGTTGTCTTTTGGGGTGATGTGAGGTAGGCAAGACTTTGCATCAGAACAGTCAGGAATATATGATTGGAAGAGACTGCTGTGTCTCTTCCAATCCAGTCCTCTGTCATTGCGGGCAGCCTAAATAAATAAATAAATAAAAAATAAAAAAAAATAAAAGAAAGGTTAAAAGCCAAAATTGTATCAGGTAGCTGGAAAAAAAAAAGCATAGTCTAAACAGTAAGTTGTTCTCCTTTCAAACATGGATAATTTTTAAATAGATGGAGAGCTCCTGAGCCATACTTACTTTGGCTGAATGGTCTGTAGTTTTTTTTTTTTTTTTAAGTGTGGCAAGTAGGCAAGTGATCCAATTGTGTTGCTCTACAGCTGCTAAAACAGCATGGCAGCATTGGGCATTACCTAAGAAGGCTTATCAGGAAGCAGGCAGACAGATGAGGACTATTGAGGGGGATCCAGGGGCATTAGCTGTATTAAACCGAGAAGGAAAGTATGTTGGAGTGGTAACGGATACTGATGACAGACCTGTAAGTTAATGCCATTTTGTCAAATTCTTGCATTTTTATTAAGATTCATATTTATGATATTTAATTTAAAGCTTCAGTTCCTGGGGATAGTCAGGAGACAAATAATCTACAACTTTTTGCAGTTTTTGCTCTAAATAATTCAGTTTTTCACCTTGGGTGCAGAACAAACAAATAACAACAAAAAACACACCTATGTAAGTGTGTCTTAAATACATGTTAAAAGTTTCAAGGTCTTTTAAAAATACTTTCAGAATTTTTGCCCAGTCATGTTATGTTATTTCTTGGCAGGCTTGACTCTTTTTTTTTTTTTTTTTTTTTTTTTTTTTTTTTAACATTTGTAACATTGGTGAGGAACATCTGACTTCACTATGGAGACTAGCACTGGTCTCATGCAGAATATATAGCTGTATAGTTCATAGCCTACGTAACTGTATTTGCGTTATGGTTCAGATTTTCAGAAATCTATTGAGTGCTTGCTAGCACACGGCTGTATCTGAGATCAAAGTTGTTTCTTTGGCTTGTGACAGAAGTATAATTTGTAGTAGGAGTCTTTGTAGAGGGAAATTCCTGGGCTGATGGTATGTCAAGATGGCAGGAAAATGTGGTGGCTAATGGTTAGGATGTTATATTAAAGGTAATTTATATATTGTGCACTGTGAGCAATACAGTAATTGGTGACTTCCAAAGACATTGAGAAGAAAATAACACCTTTCACCGTGCAAAACCTCTTTGAAGTAAGGGCTTTGATGATTCCAGTGTGGTGGAAAGGAGGTGGTCAATGTTTAGTCTACTGCTTTATCTAGTATATAGAAGAAGAATTTTGTAGTTTTCCTCATAAAGGGAATGTTTACAGGGTTATATAATAAGGATAACTATTGCTTTATATAGTAAATGATCATGTCTAGCTGCAAAAAAAAGCAGAAAATGAGTTTGAAAATGGCTGAAAATAATTTGGCCTTGTTAAGACAAAAGGAGACGGGAAAGTAACAACAAAATGAAAAAATGGCACAATGGTAGACAATATTCAGTAGTGACAGATATTAATTTGCACTGGAAAGATCTGGTTGAATTGATAATAAATATTGCTGAGTTGTATTTATTGGTAATATCAAGGCAGAGCTATATTACTATATGTGAAATGCCATGAAACGTACAGCTGCAAAATTAGTATATGGAAAACAATGCTGCAGGTTCTCTCTGTGGAAGGAAGCACTTCTTCCCAAACTTGTGTGAGCGATGGAGCCCTGGCATGGGTTGCTCAGAGAGGTTGTTCAGTCTCTTCCTTGGAGACCTTCAAAAGACATTGTCCTGCTCTGGATGTCCCTGCTTGAGCAGGGGTTGGGCCAGATGGACCCAGAGGTCCTTGCCAACCTCAGCCATTCCAGGATTCTTTGAAGGAGTAAAGAAAGACTCAATTATAATGATGCAATCAATTAATGCTTTGTGAAATGCTAATATGCACTCACATCAAATAGGCTGCCCATGTGAATTAAGGGGAAAGAAAGAGGTTTTCATGGGTGGTTTTCTACTCTTACATGTATGTTTCATACAGACACTGTCAATTTTCTGAGACATTTCTGACCAGAAAGGGCAAGTCATTGGTCTGATTTACTTGAAAACATTTTAATCAAAGATAAACCTACATATTGGTGTGTAGGAAATCAATAAGATATTTTGATATTTTTAAGGAATGCCACCAAATTCTGTACATTAATGACAAAGGAAGAAACTTGAAAGGTTTTGAAAGGTATTTCAAATATATATAAATAGATTAATTTAAAAATATGATAAGAAACTCCTAGTAGATAAGGGATCTTGTGTAAATATGTTTGCATTTTCTCTTCAAATTAAAATAAAAAGCATGACAAAAAAAGGAACATTAATTATTTCTGAGTTTATGCTTATGCCTTACAGCTTTAAGTTACAAGTAGGACCCTGTGCCTCAGCAATCGAATCGTGATTCAGTGTTTTCGGTGGTTAAGAGTTATGTTTTTCAAGAGATAAGGAAGTTAGTAGGGAAGAGCAATATTATATGTCATTTTTGCTTTCACTGTTATCTTAGTTGGTATGTTCTTACTCTTGTGTCCTTCCCCCTGTTATAAATTGACTGCATTTTCTAATCCTAACCAAAATTTGTCTTGATCACTAACTTATGCTTTTTTGCTTTTGGTTTTCCTTTCCAGTTTAAAAGAATGCTCAACCGGGAGCTAACCCACCTTTCTGAAATGAGCAGATCAGGCAATCAGGTCTCTGAATATATATCAAACACATTCTTAGGTAAGACCATGATGGGAGCTAACTTTTTTGCCTTTGTTCTTTTTAATATCTTTCTATGTTGTGATAGACCTTAAAAGCAGGTAGCTTTCCATATAATTTTCTGTTTACAGAAGCTGTACGTTCAGTACAGAGGTTATGGTAAATCCATTCCTTTACAGCTTGTGTAGTTTCTGTGTGGTTTCCCTGTGTACTTGCAGATAAATATTCCTCTATGTATTCTCATTATTATATTGCTACCATACTAAGAAATGAATATATAATAAATTGAGTATTTCATATATTTAAAATAGTTCTTCCATTCTGTTTGCCTTCTGGCCAGAATGAAAGTTAGAACAAAGAGGTTTCAGTGTGCTGAAGGCACACGAACACATGAAACCTCATTAAATCTCACAGTACATGCTTCTGATGTTTTGGTATTCCCTGCCTGCACATGAGAAAGCTGATGAATATGACTAAGTCAACATCTGAACAGACTGCTGCCAGAGAATTTGTGCAGCGAAAGAGCTTGCACTGTGGGATGTGAGCACTGAAAACCCTGACATGATATTATGAAGACTGTATTTCTTTCTCTATAGCTTTGCAGAAGGCAATGTTTTGTTCTGTTTTTCATATATATATAAAACTGGTGAAAATTAATAAAACTTGATTCTATGTGGTTGATTGTGAGCAAGAAAATAAAGTTAATGTATAAATTTTAATGAAGTTTTGAGCAAAACACAACTGGTTCATGACTGTGCACATAAGGGGAAGCACAGCTGTATATATCTAAATTAGGATAGCGAATATATTAAAAAGTGTCAAGGTTAAGAGAAATTTTGTTTTATTTGTGTGAGATAGCTAGGGCTTTTTGTGCTTTTTGGAAAGAAGTGGGGATTTTAAAAGTTCCATTTTATCCCGCTTGTCACTGTAACCTAAATGGATCTCTTCATGTGCCCATTCAGTTTATCCATGATTGCAGTAGCTGTCTGAGAAGTGCAGCACAGCAGAGTTTCATAAAAGAAGGAAGAGATATGCCTGTGTTGTGGAGAAGCAGTATTGCAGAGCTTCAGGAGCCACTTAGGCTAACTGAAAAGACTTAGATACCGGTCTCTGTATGGCTTTACTTGAAAACGTAAGGCTGATTTTGACAGGGTAAGGAAATGCATCTGTCTACTTTTCAGAGGAGACCTCAATGTGGAGCAGAAAGAGCACTGGAAAGGCAATCACTTACAAATTACTGAGCTATGGGTTTTCTTCAGTGGCTGGATATAAATGAAAACCCAGTCTGCTAAAAAAAAAAGTATACAAGAAGAAGACAGTGGAGAAAATACCTGAGCTACAGAATTATTGCTTAAATCTACTATTTCCAAAATGTGCTGTCTAAATATATAGATTCTGAGATACAATGAAAAGAAGGAAAATATTATTTCCACAGAAAATTCAAATGAATCTAGTAAATTGTTTTCTTAATAGATAACTAATCTCCTGAACATCTACAGACTTTCACATTTGAGATTTAGGAAGATGTAATGAGAAAACACTTTTTAATGTTTTTCTTCTTCAAAATAGATAGATTGTTTTCCTAGGGAGGACTGTATGAGGTGTATGAAGTTATTCTTTATGACAACTAATATATTATTGTGTAAGAATCAAGGTTCCTATCCTGAGTCTGATAATATGTAAGCTTTTTATTTTTCAGTGTAATTAATCTGTTTTCCTATGAAGTGAAAGTGTAAGAGAACCTGTCAACAAGTATAACATAACCAGGGTCAAAATGGCAAGTTATCTTTTCTAGATGTTCAGATAGGTCTGGGGTACTTCGCCTCATTATTACAAAAGCATAGGCAATCCCGTGGAATTCCTTAGGAGATTTAAAGTTGTTCAGACAAGACCCTTCCTTTCACTTGAGTTGCTCTGACAGCTCAGCTTATGAACCTCCCCTTGATGGCTCTAAACTTTGTGCATATGACCAAAATCATAAACATCAAAACATGAACACGGGTCCCTGCTCCTCATCTGTTGTCGGTTTGCACCAGTCAAAAGCTCTAGTGCTTATCCTCCCTCTTTTTTTCCTGATTGTCTGCAAGCAGAGAGCAAAGTAGGGGGGAGTGAAGAGGGGACTGGAGAACTTAGTGCTGCAGGCTAAAGCTTGGTGACATTTCTGCAGTCGCTTCTTCACTCTGATTTGTTTGGAATTTGAAGTATCCAGTAAACGCAGACTGCTAAAGGGTAATTAAAAAAAAAAAAAAAGGAAAAATAATTTAAAGAAAAGGAATAAAGTGAAGAAGCAAACACAATAACAATCTAGAAATTAGGAACAGACTTGCTACCCTTGCCTGGTTTCAGTGTCTTTCTTGAAGATGACCACTGCAGGAAGGATAAAGTAAACAGCTATTTTTAAGAGTCCCAATTTTCTTTTCTGATGTTGTTCTTTTTGTTTCTTTTAAGTTGGTTTTTAAATCTTAGTTTTCACTCAGCTCCTGTGTTAGAAACATATGTCCTTGATATTACTTGTTCTGCTAGAATATTTCGTAAGGAAGAGAAAAGATGCAGGCAGATCTTGTCAGAAAAGAGATGAGTTAAAGGAAGTTATTAAAACACTACATTTAAAAAATAGCATGAATAAAATGAACAAAAAATAATGCAAATTCCTAGCAGTTTTTTGGCTCGAAAATCCTCTGTTGCACCAATTTCAGTTGCACTGCGGACCACAGGTGTCTGCAGTGCTCCACACCCCCATACTGTATCTGCAGTGATCAGATGACAATAGCCTAAATACACTTTATTATCCCTTTGATCTTTGCCTATAGTGGTAGTAAGATTTGCTGGCACAGACATTGAGGTATATGAAATAATACCACTGATACTGCTGTAGAAGCAGAAGCCCACAAGACAGACTTTTTTTTTTTTTTTTTTTTAGCAGAATAGTCTTTTGTCAGTATTACTTACTCTGTTTGAGAGGTGCTATACATTGTAACAGAGAAGAGCTGCTCTTCAGATGTGAGCTGCCTCTACATGCAAAGCATTTGTTGATGAGGCACCACTGGCAAAAGATTTTCTGAGCTGTACAGATAGCATAAACAGAGGCAGCCCCCTTTAAGGGGGTTTTGGAAAGGTTTACATGAGATACTGTTTGTTTTTTTTTTTCCCATAAAATAAAAAAAAAATCAAATTTTCTTGCCAAATGAAAATACAGACTTCTGTTCATGTGTTATAACATTTATAAATAAAAGAGCTAACAATATCCATAGGGCTACAGGTGCAGAGAAAGTGGAAATTAGACAGTCACAAGGCATATTTAAAGACAGTTCAGAAATCTGAGAAATAGAGCTCTGCTTTAGTGAGGACCTGGTTTATGTTTGTCTCATTTCATGTTTTAACTGCTGTTGATGTGAAATACCTGTTGAAAATTCTACAACCACAAATATAAAAAACAAAAATAAAAAAAGTTCTGTTAAGCATTACAACATCCATAATATGAAAATCAGCAGTAAAGCAAGCAAAAATATTTGTAATTCATATCAAAAATATCTTTTTTCTCATTCTTTTAAAGACAAACAACATGAAGTTGAAATTCCTTCTCCGACGCAGAAAGAGAAAGAGAAAAAGAAGAGGCCAATGTCTCAGATCAGTGGAGTCAAAAAACTGATGCACAGCTCCAGCTTAACTAATTCCAGTATTCCCAGATTTGGAGTTAAAACAGACCAAGAGGATGTTCTTGCCAAGGTAGAGAATATTTAAATCCTTGAATTTAAACTGTTGAATTGAAATAGAGGTTGGTCAGATGGAGTTACCAATATTATTCCATCTTCCACTTAGAGCTGTTGATTGCAAGCTGTAGCATTAAAGGCTGATCTCACTTAAAGTAATGTAAATCCAGTGAAGTGGAAGAGTAATAACTGAAATCAGAATCAGGCCGTAAGGGTTGATTTCTGCTTGAACAGGATTTCAACAGGAATGTTTCCTGTCAGTTGCATATATTAAAAATAATAATGCTGCATATTCCTTAATAATACCTGAGGAAGGAAGAATAAACTTATATACTGACAGAGGAATGAAAATCTACAGCAGACTGATGCTTTTCAAAAATGCACAACTGTATAGCATTAGAGCTATCTTTGCATATCCTGTCTTCAACTCCATTTTGCATGTCCGTATTTTGTTTTCAGGGACACTTCTGATTTTTGCACCAGCAACAATTTGGCAATAATCTAACACTGGTATAAAGTGATTATTCATTCAATTTTAGTTGTTAGTATTTGGAAATATGCCTATCATTATGTTCTCAGGAATCTCCCTATTTATTTCAACAGTCTGTTTTTGAGGATCAGGAAGACAGCAGCAGAACTCAGTGTCTTTTGCAGTTCACCTCCTCGCTGAACTTTGCCCTTACTAGGCAGTGAGATAGAAAGGGTGTCAGCTCATTCAAAATACTGCAGTATCTCTTCCTCTGGAGCAATTCACTTAAAAGTGGAATTCTTTCCTCCCTAGTGAATCAGGAGAGGTGGTAGATGCCAGTGCAAATATTACAAGAGTAGTAGTAGCAGCTTTCCCCCTTTCAGAGTTTAGCATATAATTTTCACAGTGACTCTAGCAGGTGTCAAGCTTTGCATTTTCATGAGTCTGCCATTTGTAGCTGTTTTAATCAAAAAATGCTGGAATCTGTGTGTTAGAGTTCAATGGTTCGGTTGCTTGATTCTGTCCTAGGAACTAGAAGATGTGAACAAATGGGGCCTTCAGGTTTTCCGAGTAGCAGAACTATCTGGAAACAGACCTTTGACCGTCATCATGCACACTATTTTTCAGGCAAGTAGGAGCAGCCATACTGCTTCATGCTTATCTGAGAGATTTTTCTGTGCTTTGTAATCTGACTTGTTTCCCTTTTTCTTTTCTAGGAACGAGATTTGTTAAAAACATTTAAAATTCCAGTAGACACTTTAATAACTTACCTGATGACCCTAGAAGATCATTACCATGCAGATGTGGCATATCACAATAACATACATGCTGCAGATGTTGTTCAGTCAACCCATGTCTTGCTATCAACCCCAGCATTAGAGGTAAACTACACCAAGGTGGGAAAGAGGCAGGCATGAGAGGAAGGGACATACTTTGACTTCTCAACTAAACGATAAACATTTTAGTTTCTGTAATATTTTTCAAAAAGAAATCTTGACATTTATTTCATAAGTTGCTCTCTCTTAAAGATACTTTGTGAGGATCCAGGTTTATTTGTATGTAAATATTGTGCAGAAAAATGTAATGTTTTTCTTCAAAGTCATGGTCTTATACTTGCAGATTTGTGTTGTCATAACCTTTTTTGTTGCAAAACAATTTGTAACTTGTTACATTCGTTTCATTATTAACTGCTTCCTGTTCTGTTATAACTTTCCATGTGAGACTCACTAACCACAGTGGAATTGCCTAGGAAAGACAGTGATAAAACAGGATTTCCTCAATAAGGCCATTTGTTTATTTGTTGTTGTTGTTGTTTTTAAATTGTGTGTATTTGTTCTGAACCTGAATGACAGTTGACAAAGATCCACAAAGATTCTGGAATTCTCTTGAGAAAGAGGGAGATCAGCTTATGCTCTTAAATCTCCACTATCTTCACCAAACAGCTAAACTGAACATCAGGAGCATTTTTAGATTTTATTGCTTTTTTGTTTGTTTGTTTGTTGTATTTAACTCAACTGTTTTTGATGACCTTGCTCTCAGCAGTTTTAACCAGTAAAATCGCAGTATATGCCCAGTGCCATTGCTGATCTACGTACTTCTAAGCTGTTCATGATCAGTTCTGAAAGCCATTATGTAACTTGGGAACTTGTAACAACCTGGGACAAGACTCAGTGACACATCAGGTCCCTTGCAGTCCTTGCTGCCTATTTTCCTAATAGTCTCATACAAAGAAACATCAGTAAATGCTAAGTAAAATGCCTTGTAGTCTATCACCGTTTCCTTTGGTGTCGTTGAGGAGATGTTCATTCTTCAAATGCAGGACTGTATGTTTATTGTGTAACATAGACGTGTCAGATGTAACATGAAAGAATCTGGCAGGAATTTTTAACTTGAATTTGTGCTATAGGTCAGAAATCTAAATCTATAACTACTGGTTTAATAAAAGTTGATTTATTTATAGACTGAAGCTGAGAGACGCTTCAGTTGTTACTGAATTTAGTGATGCTGTTAGTGTGAAGTAAGGATAGTTTTACTTTCATGGCCAAGCTGGAAATATTTATGGAATTCAATGTAATGGATGATTTTACAAAAGATTGTGATAACCTATGTGTAAAATACCTTCTTAAGATTCCTGATGCATTTCAAATACATTTTTTTAACGTTCAGATCAAGATTAAATTAGACTCCTTTTACTGAAACCGTTTTTTCATTGATTAGTGATTTGTCATTTCTATTTCATGGTTTTCTAGGCAGTGTTCACTGATTTGGAGATTCTTGCAGCAATTTTTGCCAGTGCAATACATGATGTAGATCATCCTGGGGTTTCAAACCAGTTTCTTATCAACACAAGTAAGTTTGATATTCAATGGTTTTCTCAAAAATTTGCTGCAAGATCTGCACATAGCACCTGAGAAATACAAAATCTGTTAATTGTTTGTTTTACATGTACCTTTTCTTGGTAAATGGGTAGATGTTTGTATTTTCAATTGGATATTATTTTGTATTACTTGTAACTTTAGAAATAATATACACAGTACTGGTTAGCAAGAATTAATAAGACATGAAAAATAAGAGATGGACTATAATCCTGTCACTATCTTCTGTTTAGAAATGGGACTGGTAGGTGTATTTCTGGCTCTACCTGGCTGCTGTACTTTTTTTCTGATCGCTTCATAGTCATGCCTCATGGACTGAATTTTCTCAGCCTGCCCCGGCAGACTGTGGCAAATGTCTCTTTTTTTTTTTTTTAATATGTGACTCAGTGATGCTTCAAATACGGAGGGGTGAGCCCCAGTGAAAATAGGACCCTAATGCCATCTCCAAATGTGAAACCCAGTGTACTTGTTCTGCATTCCTCAAGGCTGTTCTATGCAGCACTACATGAACCACTTCCCTCTTTTATCTTCTGCTAGAAGAAAAGTACTGTTAGCCTCATTGAATCTAATCATGGCACATTTACCGAGTGGCTTCTTGCCCTAGTGCAACCTGCTTTGATTATATTACTCTCTTTTCCTACTATAAGTGGGTAGCCCATTTTAGCAAATTCCATCATATGCTCGTAGTTCTTTTGCCATCTGTTGTCTTCTCCTTTTACAATAACTGACCCAGAATTAACAAAACTTGAAATTATTCTAAGAATCCAAGCATGTAAGAAGAAAAAGCTACAGAAATGGAGGCATACCTAGAAGTTGTGTATTTGACCCATCGGGTTGCATGTCTGGGTAAATAGATTCACAGGGTGAATCTATTCCACTGGTGCTAAAATAGTATGACCCCATATCAGCAATATGGTTTGAAGAAAGGAGATCCTGTTCTGACTAATTTCTGCTGTACATTCAGATAAGACCTCAAGCCTAGTCTGTATCTAATTTTATTTGCCTTAATGGCCTGAGGGCTACCCTGTAGTGAAATTTTATTTGGTGACTCATCTGCAAAGTGAAGGATTGGGACTGTCTCTAGATTTCTGGTACTGTGTTGGTAATAAGTGCAGTTAGCAGTGTAGTGTAGAAAGATGGTGAATCAAGCATTGTTCATGAAACTGTGTAAAGCCCAAACACTTAAGAATAGGCACATATAAGTAAAGTTTTTGTTTATTTAATTAGAAATTGAATAGCAGGATGTATTGGTGGCTCAGAGTTGCTATGGGGAAACATTGAGTTGGTTACGTTTAAGCGGCATGACTGTCTAGATGAATGGGCCAGTAGTGCTACATAAAGCTTTCACTTTTAAGGTAGATGGTTGAAACTCAGCTGAGTTAAGAGTGATTCTGATGTATCGGCTTAGAAAAATGTCTTGTTATTCTCAGTTCTTTCTGATGGAGAAAACTTCCATGTAAATCAAGTAGTGCCACTAACTGGAACTGCTGTTAGCAAGCTCAAAAGAGACAAAGGGGTTTTATCCCTTTTGAGTTCTTACATGCTTGAGGAAGAAACCATAGGAATAGAGATAGACATAAAGAGCATTTTATTCGGTTTTATTTAAGATTTTAACTCATTTTCCACAAGGACTTAAGAATCAATGCCTACATGACTTCTATAAAAGTTACAAAATCTCTCAACTCTCAGATTTTCCTAATCTCTAGAAGATCATTTTCTTCAACCCAATTTTATGTTTTCCAATGAACCTTGCAATGTACTAGCATTTCATTAAGAAGTATAAGAATACATTTAAAAAATCATTATAGACTTATAGTTATGTAACATGTGCATGTTTTCTATATTTCAGGTTATTCTTTACAATTATTTACACATTATATTTCAGAGTTTTATTATATCGTTTCAGGATTTAAAATCCATTTAGAAAGCTTTCCAAAAACTTGATCCCTCATAAACACTATTAAAGTATAAACAAATGTGGATTGTGCTAGCATCGGGGGAGATGCATATTTGACGACTGTTAAGTCTATCCTTCCAAATAGTCTTGAAGCTTATAGTGTGCTACAGATGTTACCAAGGAGGAACTTTCCACCTCCATTACAAAGTTGAGCATGTTTTAACTCTCTCTCCGTAGTTGCAGCCCTTACAAAGTAGTTCAGCTATGTTGAGGGTTTTGCAATTGAAGCTCTTCAGAAGGCTGTTTGAAAGGAATATAAACCACTGCCTGTCATCTTTGTAAGAAAAATGACAAGTAGTCAAACTTTATAAATATTCTGTGAAAGACAAAAGAGATACCATTTGACAAACTTTCTTTCTTTTCCCTTTTGCTATTACAGTTTTGCTACCATTAGGATAAGGCAAGTTAGAGGAAGGGTTTCCCAATTCACAAGATCGATGTGTTCAGTACAAGAGAGGAAGACAGCAGGAGAATGCACAACGAGACTATTGAAATCTGAAGAGCAGAGCCTATAAAAGCACCCTATTGAACCAGAGAGATTTTGAAACAAAGCTTTTGTAGAGGAAGATAAAGAGGACAAGGAGTAGAATAGACTCACATGTGGTTAGATTTCAGATAGAACAACTGCAATAAACAGAAATTTATGTCAGCACAAATGTGATTGCATAAGAAGAATGCTTTTTGGATGATAGATTCATTTGCACTCTGTGTCTTAAAAGGTGCAAGCTGATTGTGTGACGTTCCTGTGTAGAATCCAAATCTGTGCAGAAAATTGTCTAAACTGTTTTTATTTGTTAAAGCTGTCTTCATGTGTGCCTTGGTACAGGCCTAAGAAAGGAGTATGAGCTTTACTTATTCTCACAGCCACATGGCACGACTGAGTGAAGAAAGTTTTGTTAGCGAAGGTACCATTTTAACATCACAAATAGATCACACTCAAGTATGAGACAATAAGCAAGGCCACTGCTTGCACTTTCAAGCCACATAGCTTTTCAAGAAAAAGATCAGAAGTGTAACTGTGACTGTCCTACCAGCCTCCTCTCAAAACATCCATTGTTACAGACTAATGATGCCCCTTAGGCATAACTTTCTACTTAACTGAGTGTCTTACATAACTGCAGAGGTATATTATTTGGAAACCAAGATGAGTGTGCTTTGCCTGACCTGCACTGAAGCCTTAGCTGTGTATTCACAGGTCTGAGTAGTGGATAGGTACACCTTCACTTAAGCAATTCAGTTTTAGTGGGTAGGGAAGGAGGGAGGAAAGGGCAGAAGGAAGACAAAAAAACATCAAAATGTGTTTTAGTTTTTGTGTTTATGCATAATATTTTCCATGTGACCACATGCATATATGAAAATGTATTCTGAAAAATATCTTCCTTGTATTGTTTTCTAACTTGCCATTCCAGGCATGTGTACACACTCCACTGCAAAGCTGGCTTTTTATTTTTCTCAACATACTTTGCCTTGATTTGTTAAGATGTTCAGTTGTCAATTCTGCAAGTTTTGATACTGTGTGAACTACTGGAAATCGTTTTCTAATAGTTCATCTGTAAATCTTGTTATGAATGTAATTCATTTGAAAAATCATAAGGGATTTGGTGGAAGCAAAGGCTTTAGTAATATTCTGCCCTGTGATTGTTATTGCAGATTCTGAACTTGCCTTGATGTACAATGACTCATCAGTACTGGAGAATCACCACTTAGCTGTGGGCTTTAAGCTGCTACAGGAAGAAAATTGTGACATTTTCCAGAATTTGACCAAAAAACAGAGGCAGTCATTGAGGAAAATGGTCATTGACATTGTGAGTTCTGCTTTAGAGTCCCTTTTGCATAGTGCTAGCAAATTGAATGATTATGCACAGCAATATTTTAGGATAAATTGCAAGTTGTTAGATGAAGTTGTATTGTATTTTGTCCAAACATTAATAATGGGTTCTTTTCAGTTTTGATAACCATGTATACCTTTCTGGAAGTTATACAGCCCTGTTTCAAGCTGTTTTCATACAGATGTCTATGTTTGGCATTTCACAATCACAGCTGGAAAGTTTCTACTGGATTGATGATAATGAACTAAGAATGATCAAATCTTTCTCCAATTATTTTGTCATATTCTTAAAAATAATCAAAATGAAAGCATTAGGACACTGATGACATATGGGACCGAGACTTCTGTAGTGTATTCAGATACAGAACTTAGGTTTTCTACTGAGAACCATTTGTTTTTGGGTCCAAAGGCTTCTTAAAAGTCAGTAGAATAAACAATATTTTTAATTAAAAAACAAAAAACAGTTTTTTTAAATGATTTATTCTTTTGTTTCTTTCAAGGTACTTGCAACAGACATGTCTAAGCATATGAATCTATTGGCTGATTTAAAAACTATGGTTGAAACCAAAAAAGTGACAAGTTCTGGTGTCTTACTTCTTGATAACTATTCAGATAGAATTCAGGTAAGAAAATTTATCTGTATTACCGTGTGTTACATCATCAATAGCTTTTGCCTACCTAGTCTTCAGCTTGGGTTAGATCAACTGTCCATTTTCACACCATGACTCACTCTCTCCCCACTTCTCTCTTACTTTTCTTGCATGTTACATATTCTGTTAGGTACTGAATTATTCTTTGGGAAATTGATGAGGTGGTAATATACTTCTAGGCTGATCTTGGCTTTGCCCTACCCTTCAAATTGTCAGCACCTTCTTGGTCTTTCTCTGAAACATTTTCTGTCTCTTACATGGGGAGAAGCAGTAGAAGTGAGGTAATTCATGGCTATTACTGCAGGTGTGAAAAACACTCAAGGACTAAGTTTTTGCTCTCCAGAATAAATCTTGCACTACATGTATTTTCAAGATTCCGGTTCACAGCCACCAAACGTGTAAATGGAAAGGGAGCCGTTTTTCTCCAGTGTAATAACACAGCAGGTGTTCAATCTATTTTAGGTTCTTCAGAATATGGTGCACTGTGCAGATCTCAGCAATCCAACAAAGCCACTCCACCTATACCGCCAATGGACAGATAGAATAATGGAGGAATTCTTCCGTCAAGGAGATCGGGAAAGAGAGAGGGGAATGGAGATAAGTCCCATGTGTGATAAGCACAATGCATCTGTAGAAAAATCACAGGTAACTGATTTCAGTAGGCAGATAAATAGCCTAGTATGACATTTTAATGGAAGAAGATAGTCCATAACCATTCTTCATATTTTGATGAATTTCTGAACGTACTATTTCCTTGTTTTTCCTCTCTAAGTTAATTAATTCAGTTTCTGGGTAGCAAGTGAGAGGAGTTAAGATTCTTACTGTGAAAACATAGTGCATAGCAGTGTGTTTCCTGAAGGGATTCCATCATTGTTGTTATCTGCAATGAAGCATATTCTTCAGAAAATAATATTGTACAGCTGCTCATTAGGATTTCCTTCAAAAGCAGAATTAAATATAAAGCAGCTGTTTGGCTCAGTAAATGCAATGGAGTTCTTTGGAAAGAACAATTCATTTGGAAACAAATTCTTTCCAAGTCCTTATCCAACCAATATCCTGAATGAGAGGTTTGAGATGCTAAGAGACCCTATTTTCTGCTTAGAACAGCATGGGCTCCTTGCAGCCACCTTAAGAGTGCTGTGTCTAGTGTCTCATGCTAGTGTTATCTTTCTCAGGCATTATGGTCTATTTCTTTTAGACAGCATGAATATTGAAAGCTTCTGTACAGTAAATGGATTGAATTACTGTGATGTTTATTCATAGTTTTTCATTTTTTGTGAATAAGATCTTATTCTAATTTTCTATTGTTTGAAACAGGTGGGTTTTATAGACTACATTGTTCATCCTTTGTGGGAGACATGGGCAGATCTTGTTCACCCAGATGCCCAGGATATCTTAGATACACTGGAAGACAATCGAGAATGGTACCAGAGCACAATCCCTCAAAGTCCCTCTCCTGCACCTGATGACCAGGAAGAGGGTAGACAGGGACAAACTGAAAAATTCCAGTTTGAATTAACACTGGAGGAAGATGGAGAATCAGACACCGAAAAGGACAGTGGAAGTCAAGTAGAAGAAGACACCAGCTGCAGTGACTCCAAGACTCTTTGCACCCAGGATTCAGAATCCACTGAAATTCCTCTTGATGAGCAAGTAGGGGAAGAAGTAGAAGAGGAGGAGAACCAGACAGAACCTTGTGTAGTGGAAGACCATGCTCCTGACACATAACAATGAGGACATATCCTCTCTGTCTTGCCCTCTCCCTTTCCCTCTCCCCTCCTTCCTCTCTCTAATTAAGTAATGGTTTCCAAAGTGTATGTCGTATGCTACAATCATGATCACAACTCACTGTCATCTGCTAGGACGTTTGTTAATCAAAACTGACCTTGATGACTCAGTTTGGCACTCAGGAATATTGTAACCAGAATCTTCACCTCCATTGCTTCAGAAAGTGGGGGAAGAAGATCCATAAACTACATCTTACTAAACTCAATTTCACAGATTTGATTAACTAAATCAAATATTTTCAGAGGAGTACCACCTGCCAACCGAATGCTGGTATGCTTTGGTAGTTTTTTATTTTATTTTATTTTATTTTATTTTACTTTTTATTTTATTTTATTTTTATTTTATTTCTCAACTTAAGCATTGGATAATGTTCATCATCAGAGGAAACAGACAGAAAATAAACTGAGGTTCCTACTGGAAAGCAAATGCACATAAATGATGGGACACAACACGAATCTGTTACCAATAGGAAGATGAGCTGTGGAAATTGCATAATTTTCTAATTTCAAGTCTTCCTGATAAGTGACTGAAAAAAGTGCAACCCAATGGGTTGCACTGAACTCTGCATTTTGTATAATATGTAAAAGAGAGATCTTTTGTAGAGCTTACTTTTATTATTAAATGTACTGAGGTATTATATTTAAAGAAAAACACTTTCCGACTTCATCTGCCACTGGTTATTTTTTCCAAAGAGTAACTTGCAAGTTTTCAGTACAAATCTGTGCTACACTGGATAATACTTCTAGGGTTTTTTCTTTCCTTCTTGTTTTGCACCTTAGAACTTCAAAACAATATTGAATTTTAAACATCTAGTATTTTATGTATTAGTGAGTTTCATGAATATCCTTTATGTTACCCAAAACTCCTACAGTCTGATGGAATTTTTTTGTTTTCATTATAATGTTCCCAGACATATTAGAGGAAGTTATGTTTTGCTATTGTCCTCATAGTGGCCTGATCCTGTCAATTCTGACTTTGTACCAGAAGTAGTACTACCATTGAAACCAACTGTTAAGATTAAGATTTGCAGGACTAGGACCAGTAAGAAAGGTAATGAATTGTCTTTAATATAAAGGCATCTCTTCGACTATATTTGTGAAATTTATCCCTCTGAAACATGATTTGCAGACCATTTTTTTGCCTGGGAACTATAGACTGCTAAATCAGAACAAGCAAATACAGTGTTTGGAATATATATTTTGGTATAAAAGCATTAATGTATTATTTAAATTTTGATTCCCGTAGTTTCTTTTTATCTTTTAGCGATCTAGTTAAACCATTTGCTAATCTGAGACATGTAAAATATAAAAATTGTGATTAGCATTATTTTTTCATATTTTTATTGCAAGAAGAGCCAGGTCCATCTTTTTTTTTTTTTTCTATGTTTTTAAGTAATTAAAAAATGTGTCATGAGAGTGGTAGTTTACTCCACATTATTTTAATCTCAGATATTTTTTTTTTTAATCCTTTATACAGCTTGTGCTGAGAGAAGCCTACTTTTAGGTTTGATTGGTACTGAAAACTTCCATAACTTGGAAAGCTAAAGGGAATTAGGAGTTCGTGTTTGACATTTGCCTGTCCTGGTGCTTGCTCACATGAAACAGGAATTTTTTATCTCCACTGCTTTACCCTTCATTAAAATTGTAGTTTTCAGTTGGGAAATAGTTGCCTAGAGAAGGCACAGACTCTAGTCTGTAAAATTCTGGTAAAATGACAATATCAAGATGATTTCTTAACAAAAGAAAATGGAATCAGACATTATTTCCCTAGTTTGGATTAATTTGGTAGTAAATAAGCAGATATAAATGTTGTTTTTTGTTGTTGTTGTAGTTTGTTTTTTTTTTTTTGTTTTCATTTTGGTTTTGGTTTTTATTTTTTATCTTTTTTTAAGTGTCTGAGATCTTCTTTAAGATAAGAACTTCTTTGAAAACTATTGGCTAATAATTCAGCCTTTAAATTCATTTCACATTCTTCTATATCCAGGTCAAAATTTTCTCTACCTTTAGCCCTCACAGGGCTTTAGCACAGATGATACTGAAGGAGGAAAGAAAATGAAGAGAACTCATGTTTTTAAGGTTTCAACAATATTTTGTTCTTCATCATTTCTTCCTGAACCTGACCCACCTAAAAATCCTCTCAATCCCTAAGAGTGCCTGGAACCTTAATAATGGAAAAGCAATATAAATTCCAAAATGACCAATGGGGACCTGAAAAGCTTTTGTATCTGCACTAACTGAAAGTAAATGAAGAGAAAACACCATATTGTATTGTGAGACATATACCCATACATATGGACAATCAAACCATAGAAAATTGTATCATTTCTTAGAGATGGGGATATAATGCACTGTACAATCTTTTTTTTTCCTCTTTTGCCAAAGTGTGTTTTAGCATTGCACACTGCTTTAAAACAATACAATTTACAAGTGGCTTTATGTGTTTTAAATAATTTTGCCATAATAAAATGCGATGAGTTGGGTATTGGGGGGAGGAAAGGGGGGGAGAAAATTCACATTGCTTATAACAGTACACTTTAGCTTGCAAGTTACTGTACTCAATAATGCTGTATTTGAATTTTTAAATTGTTTTGTGTCATTGTTAAAAAGATAATGAAAGAATATAGATAGAACAAATAGCATTCAGAAGTTTTAAAAACTTGAATGAAATGGATTTTTCAGAAAGCTTTGACAATTCTTTTAAAATGCATTATTTATTTTATTTGTGCCATGCATTTTTCTCACCAAATGACCTTACCTGTAATACAGTCTTGTTTGTCTCTGTTTACAACCATGTATTTATTGTAATGTACATACTGTAATGTTAATTGTAAATTACCAGTTCTTATTATAACATCATCCTTGTGAGGGTGGTGTTGCTATATTTGGAAACTCTTGGTGAGAGAATGATTATTGTGTATACATATTCCTTGTACATTTTTTCTCCTGTAATATACTCTATGTCACCTTAGAGCTTGTTTATGGAAGATTCAAGAAAAGTATAAAATACATAAAGATATATCAATAAAAAAAAAAAGAGGAAAAAAGAAAAAAAAAAAAAAGCTGCAGGTCTTTGGTCCCAGGGCTGTGCCTTAACTTTAAACAATTTTTTCTTCTGTTTTGCTGCATTTGAAAGTAAGGTAGCTGTGGGGCTAGGGCTGGGCATATCTACCCTATTTTTAGTGCTAGCTTACGGGGATTACAAATACAAGCTAGTATGCATGATACTACAGTGAGCTTTCATTCATGACCCTACTGCAAGTTCAAGCTTTTCCAGACTTTGGGCAATATGATTGTACTGCCTCTCTGATTATCTTTTTACAGGCTATCATCAGGGATTATTGCATATTGCAGCCATTACTTGCTACTACTAAAAAAAAATAAATACCGATACTATATTTCAATACTGAATTTTGCTGAATTTTGCTGAAAGAGCTTTGGAAAGCAGCTCTAACAAGCATCTGATTTTAATGCATATTGGCAAATGAAATAATTGGAATTAAAAGGGTATATCTCATACACTTTTTTTTTTTTTTTGTTACCTAATATTCTTTCTTTACTCAGTAGCACAAATTGCCACTGTATAAGCAGAATCCGTAAAGTAGGACAAAAGACAATTTCAGACTTGGAAATGCTTTCTAACACTAATAATAGTGTTATAAGCAGCCAAAGTTTTTATTTTGTATAGATGTATCTAAGGCTTTGTACAGGTATGTATAGCATAATGCACTAGATCTGGTAAACCTTTTAATAACACTAGCGTTAGTTTTACAGGTTGGACTCTGAGCATCTCTTGTTGTTTGAATATCACATTGCTCCAGACTGCTTAGGACTGATAGCAATGAATTTTCCAGAGCAAGGTAAACGCCTCTCCTCCATTCCAGTGATGCCCAGCCCTTGTAGCATGCGACTTTTCGGTGAAAGGAGCAATTCTTTTTCAAGTAAAAACAGAGCCTCCTTTTTGACACAAACTGTAGATTTTAGCAGCCCTGGCCCAAAGGAAAATGATTGCTTTTGTTTTAAACTGTAAAAGGGACACTATAATGAGAGAAATCCTGAACAATTTTTTGTTGTTGTTTTAATTTGATTTTTTCTTTTGGGGATGTCTTGAGAGTGGCAACTTGTGTGAACATTGCACATGACAATTACTTCACCAGTTTCTTAGCCTCTCTTACAGCCTATGGGATAGTACTGTACATCAATACCTTCATATGAAATTTTTATATGCAATGGAAATAAAAGCATGGGTTGATTCTGCCTAGTTACTGTATTTGATTTCCTTTTGCAAGGTGTTATTTTTTTATTTTTATTTTATTTTTTTTATCATAGCTGTGACATCTTAAGAGAAAACATATCTATAGAATACTTAGATTATGATATTTTTTTCGTCATACTGAGTTTTGTGTAGATAATACAAAATAAATGTGAGGGCTAATCAGACAAGTTAGTCAAATGTGGTATTTCATAAAGTCTAATCCAGAGACATGCTGTACAGTTGTATAGAAAGGCATTCAGTCTCACCTTTCTGGAAATTTTACTATTGACTTGAGTGGCAGAAGAAGCCTATCTTGAGAAAATAGGACTTCAGCTGAAATGAGGCAGGAGAATAGAGATTGCTACCAGAGCAATACATGGGGATATCAGAAAGAGAAAAGAAAGAGAAAAGAAAAAAAGAAAAAAAAAAGAAAAAAGAAAAAAAAAGAAAAGAAAGGAGAAGAATACTGTAGGTAAATATTGACCAGAAAATCCCTGCTCAAATGGATGATAAAAATAATTTTTATTTATTTATTTATTTATTTAAATTAGACTTTGTAAATGCCAGCTCTTGCCTTGGAGAAATGTGGTAGACTCAGTCTTAATGCTTTCAAAGTAGTTTTTATAAGCCACTTGATCAGAGTATTTATTAATCAATGTCATGTCCTTTTTTTTTTTTTTTTCCTTAAGATCCTCCTTCTTAGATACTCTTTTGGATTTGGAGTTAGTTTGCAAGGAGTACAACCCTTAGGACTCCTTTTAAATCACACTTTGGCGGCAGAAGAGGCTGGTAAGAGCTGGGCTGTGAAGATGAAGGAAGGTGTGCTGAGCACCATGGGGTAGGTAAATCAGGTGGCCCATCATCTGTGCTGTCCCCATCCTCAGACTTTCTCAGTGTCCCTAATGGGAGAATGTTCTGCATACATCATGGATTTTAGCCTGAAGGGAGGAAGGAACTCCAGATTCTTCTTAGCTCTGTTAAAATCTCTATAGTGAAGAGCTCAGGTATCACACTTTTACAAGTGGTGAGCTTGAAGCTGGCAGGATTAGTTTGTTCATCCCCTGGTGGCATTGTCTCAGTCTGCATGCGTGGCAATAATAATGCTTCAGGTAGATTGGCATGTTTCAGAGCAAAACCAAAATGAATTCCTTGTTTCACTGCAGTCAGCTGCTGCTATAGGAACTGAATATTTTTGAAGTAATGACTCCTCTGTTTCTTGGGGACACAGTGACTAGCTGCAGCTTCATTTACTCAGTCTCTCTGCTGCACTGAAAACAAAAGTCACAGCTGCTGGAAAACACACTGGGATGACCAGCCCAATTTATCTACCAGCTGTGAATAATTTTGCATAGTTTTATTAAGGGAAAAAAAAAAAGGGGGGAGGAGGGGAGGAGCAGAAATTCAAACGTTATAAAAGGCTGTTGGTTCAGTTTAGTTTAGCCTACAATGTATAGAAAATGTCCAGCTTGCTTCTGTGAAACTGGCTGAGAAATCTGCAAAAGTAATAAAGGGGGATAAGACATCCTAACAACAGGAATCAGAGTGATAAAATGGGAGAAAAACCTGGGCAGGGAAAAATATACTCCAAACAAAATCATCTCATCCCATCAAGGGTGATCCCATTGCCTGGATATGGACCCAGGGAACTGAGTTTGACTTTACTGTGCCTCAGTTTCCTAGACCCCAAGCTGTAATTTTTTTCTTTTCACAAAGCAAATGTGTTAAGGTCCTCAGCTATTATGGTAGTAAGAACTAAGCGCTTGTCAGGCATTTATAAAGTAAAAAATTGTTTTGATACAATGCAATTTAGTGGAGCTTTAAGGACTCAAAATGTGCAATGACTCTCTGCTCGAAGAGGCCATAGCACAGAAGAAGGAGGAGGATGACAATGTACACAAACCTCAGTGAGAGCAAGAGGGAGAAGATTCAGGACGTTTGAGCCCAGCTAGCTCATACTGTCTAGCACTGTTGAGCTGTGAAGACAGCAAATGCAGATCAGAAAGTTGTCACCTTGCATGGTTACCTCCAAACACTGAACCTCTCACCTCCACCAGCCTTTATGTTGTATCCTCTGTGGTCTGTGGAGTGCAGATGACTATGATAGCATACCTACCATGCAGCAGAGAAGGCTGGAAAATAAAATATGGGTTATGCAGCATGTAGCAATCAAAGTCCAACTGGCACATGTGTTGTACATGTGTGGGACTTGGCATATGGTAAGTGCCTACGAGCCATCAATATGCAGGGCTAGACGGAGAAAGGTAGTTTTAAAAACTTCAGTACCTTCTGATAGCTGAAACTTTCCAGAACTAATAAGCCAAAACCCTTATGAACCAGTTTAAGTTTCCAAAAACTTGACTGGCTGCAGGGTTGACAAGACCAAGAGCTGTGCCTTGCTCATTGCATTCTCAGCCTGTGGTTAGCATTTCACATTGCTGTCAGGGGTAGACCTCCTAAACCATGGTGTTGTCTGGAGCCTAATGCAAAGGCTACTTGAGCTTAGATGCAAAGTACCACTTGAATGCAGAGATACTGAGCCATGTCACTCTTCTTATGGAAACAGCAGCAACAACTGATGAAGAGCTGCCTTTATGATCCATCTGGCTGTGCACCTATGAGCAGGAAATCCTCCACTGGCACCCAGGTTTGTAACAGTTCTTGGGTTTAGAGTCTTTGCCACTGAGAGGAAAGAGAAGCCCTCTGTGGCATTTTAAGATTGTATGTGTTTATTTAATATACATGTATATAGTGCAAAGACAAAGCTGGTAGCAAAACAAAAACAAACAACATGAGCAAAAAGCCACCCTAACCTTGCTTCTTGCACACTTGCTTTCTCTCTTCTCCTCCACAAGTGGGGGGAGTATGTCTCTACTAACCACATGCACCTGGGAATGGAGAATGTGGGATACATTTAGAAGGTGAGAAACAAACAAGGAATCAGTAACACAGCCTGTGTGAGATGATGCTTGCTAATGGCAGTTGCAGAGAAGTGCTTCTTACAAAGCTGAGCCTGTAAAAAAAAAATGCTTAAGTATAGAATGTAATTTAAGCAACCTTCAGTAGCTCTGAGGATGTTAGTGGAATCAAGGTGTTTGAGTTTGATAGTTCTAGCTAAGATGCAGAAAAAAAAAAAAAAAAGGCAAAGAAAAAATAAAAAAGCTGGAATCTGGCTGTCTAGCAGGATTCAGGGAATATGACCTGTTTATCTCATCCAAGAGAAGTTTAGGATATGGCTTGATCATATGGGTCCAGAAATGTGATAGTCCCTTGGCCTGTTCTGTTGTCCATTAGTCAGAACCAGTCACCAGCAATGGAACCGACAGGCTGGGAGCTGGCGAACGAGCAGTTCAGGCTGCACAGAGCACAACAGCAGCAGCTGCCTTCGTTCCTGCCTCGTGCTTGCAGGGACCATGCTGGGGAGCAGGGTCTGAGGCAATGTCACCCTCACAGCTGAACAGTGTGCTATGGATGGATGCTGGGAGCGACATACACACTGTTCAGTGCCACAGGTCTTACTTTTAAGGGTAAAATTCACTTCATTGTAGCTTTACCTGGGAATAGGCTTGTTCTTTGCCGAATGGTGGGGATAGGGGAAGGGAAAACTGGTGCTGAAAGATGGAAGGGCTTTTTCTATCACAGTACTTTTCAAACTATAAAGTAGTAGGGCCATTTATTGCAAAATACCAAAGCATTTTCTTCCCAGGAAAAAACTTTATCTTTCTGTTTATAATAACAGCCTCCAATCTGAGATGATTTTCTCATTTAATCTTCATTGTCCTGCTCCTTCCTGTGTGCTTGCAGGAGGGAAAAGGCACAGGATTTAGCAGTGCAGGCAGTTGTTGTTCCTAGTGTCTGTGTGGGTATTTCCCCTGCAGAAAGGGCTTGCACAGCAGGGTAAGACAGGCTGCAATGTTTGCTCCATCGTGGCATGCTGTTCACTGCAGCGGCTGTGTGTCACCCTGTGTTAGCATCACAGCAGTGTCCCCATTTTCCTCAGCTGAACCAAAACAGCAAGGGATATATATCTGCATGTGTGTTTTTAATGAGTGCAGCCCCAAACATCCAGGCTGCCAGCGGGGTGAGGGCACCCAAAAGGGCTGGGAGGCAGGCAGCCTCCTGTCCCACTCATTGAACTGCCATCAGATGAAGACCCTAGAAGAACACCCAGGTCTAGGGACCAGCTCTTCCCACTATAGGGACCCGTTTCCGCCACCTCCAACCTGCATCAATTTGGTCCCTGAGAGGTGGGTGGGCATCCCTAGGAAGAGGGAGGGAACCAGCCCCTGGGTTTCTGTCCTAGTTAGTGCTTTTCTCTCTTGCCCAAAAATATGTTTGGGTTTCCTCCTCCTTTCACCATCAGGTAATTGAGTTTGATGGGGTTGGTTCATTGTGATGGGCTACATGGACATGTGCATCCAGACATGGGAGAAGTTGCCTCTGCCAGTGGAAAGGATCTGGGCAGTTTGTGGAGCCAGGCTCCTGCTCTCTGCTCTTGCCATATGATTGAGGTGTGTGCACCAGCACGTGCACATGCCTTTCACTTCCATGTACATCAAATAACTTTGCACTTGGATGGCCTAATCAGCTCCAAGATCCTGTGCTTCATGTAACACTCTTCCTCCATCCCAAAGGAATTCCATTAAAATTTTTATGCAAGAGCTACACAGCCTTCTGCACTGAGTGTTTGGAGGTTGCCTCCAGTCAACAACTCAAGGGTGGACTGGCCAGTTCCCTGATTTTCTCACTGTCTTGGTGCCATGGTGATGATACCCCTCCAGAAAGTCTCCTTGTCCAGCAGGAGAGGAAAATTTTGTTATTTATCTAGAAATGGGTCACAGCATCATGCCAGGCTGTGTTGTGCAACAGCATCCTGTATAGTATGTTCTCATAGTCTCACTTTCATAAAATGAGCACTGGTTGTAGAAAGCCACACATCACAGATCTTATGGAGCCAGACATCTTGTGTCTTCTATCCCCACTCACAGGTTCTGTTGCTTTTTTGTTCACACTCCTGG